CCTGGTTTAAAGTGAGTCTAAGGCGCAGTGCCCAGAGGGAATATTAGACTGAAGACGTTGACGCCAGGTGGGCCCGGGACCCTTCTAGACACGGATCAATTTCTCTCTTAGATAAATACGGAAAATATTTTCCTAGGTCCGTCCCTAAAGAGTCACTCTGCCCTGAAACCCGAATTTTTGGTTGTGAGCCTAGCCTTTAACGGCTGAGCCATCCCTCCAGCCCATGAAACCCGAATTTTTAAGACTGAATCTAACGTCCTTCCCCGTGATATCTGCTGCCTTCAGCGCCCTCCTCTGCCTCTGCTTTCACCCTGAGACCCCCAATCTCTCCCCTCGCTCTGGTGTAATACACAAGACAAGTAGTCATGGGATAATGTAGTCTTTGATCCCTCCTGACACAGGACTGAGTTCCTTCAAGCCTCGCCACAAGCTTCTCTGCCTCTGCAAGCAGAAGTCAAGAAACATCTCGCTCCATTCCGAGCTCCCTCTCAGCCGGTGTCTGTGGAAGGAGCCTGGCTCTGGTCTGGTCACACTCAATATCCGCCAGGCGGCGCTGGTTCCAGCCCCCGTGCTGACCTAGCTTGCGCAGAGGACTGGGAGGACTGGTTGCATGCCAGGTCTCCTCCTTGAGATTCTCTGACTTTAGTTGTCAACAGGACACAGATTTCCACGTGCTAATGAATCCTAAACCCTAGGCATCCAGTCGTTAGATCCAGTCCTGCTTAGAAGCACTTGACCAAACTTCAAGTACCAGGAAGGATCCCTGCATTTCAGAGCCCGCCTATGAAGCCTGCCTGACCTGGGTGGAGTGCAGCACACCCAGCTACATCCAAAGAACACACCTAAGTCAGGCACATACTCATCATTCCCCGCCTCTTTAGCAGCCCCTCCTGGTAGAAACAGAAACACCCAAGTGCTTCCGATCAGTTTCTGGGGTTGTTTCCTCATCCTCTTGGTTTGCCTAACTTCTTCCTGGCCTGGAATGATTTCTTTTAGATCTCAGCATATGCTGATTTGCATAGCTGGCACATCACTACTTTTCTCCACCCAAACCACTTACAATTAGCGAGTTTCTCCCTTTCTTTGATGCCAAAGTACTGACAAGATTATTTCCCACGTACAGCCCCAAGGCTTTGTAGATGAGAGCACTGGTATCATCCACTGGAGCCTGCACTCATGTGTCTCTTTATGTACACAGGTGATGTCATGTGGCCATTTTGGTCTCTGGGCTCACAGTCAAACTGAGGTGTGGGTCCAGTTGCTGGGCAGACTAATGTCTCTCCCCCAACTGTACTTAGAGAAGCAGAACAGCATTTGTTCACCCCTTGCTAGTGTGACCTGGGGAAACAGAAGAACTCTAGTGGCCCTATGTGGGTTGTTTGTATTCTCACCAAAGGAAAGCTTTGTACTGTGGCACCTCTAGCTCCTAGAATGAAGAAAAGGAGTCAACCCAAATCTGTGTCTATTCCATAGTCTAGGGGAATTCCATACCCCTCTTCACACAATGCTTACCCTAGCCAACTTGACTAAATTTGAGTCCCTCTCTGGGCTGTTGGTACTAAAAAGGCAGAGACACCATGGGCATGCTGTGACTCTAAAAGAGAAAGCAGCCTCAAAGAGCTTCCAAATGGTCACACACTTTCACTGTCACCTGTCACACGCTCAACTCCACAGAAGCATCTCCGTGCTTTGAGGCATGTTTCTGCACCATGCTCTGTGCTGAATTCTGAGTAAAATAAAAAAAAAAAAAGACAACTCCCACTAATTAATTGCTGTGAGGAGGCTCAAGAGAGCTTGAAACCTCCTTCAGATTTTTGTTTCAATGGCTCCAGCCCAGGCTTGCCTCAGCCCCCATATAATCCAGGAACAGCTTTATACCCCTGAGAATGTGAGAAGATGTCCTCTTGGGCACCCTGGCTTCCTGGTTAAGAGGGCTCTCTTAAGAAGGTTACCTATGTGTCGTGAGGACAGCTTAAGGGACAGACATAGAAACTGCAAAGGTGGTGCAGGAGAACGCCACCATCAAGCCAGGCACCATTCGCTGAGGGTCAGAAATCAGGAGACCAGCCCTCTTTGAGCTGAAGCTGCCCATCTAGGAGATGGGTGCAGTGAATATGTCTACTTACTGGTCAGCAATTTAAGGGGTTCTACCTACATGGGACAGAAATTGGCACCCCATTAAATGCATACCATTCAACTCCCTACAAAAGTCAGTGGGAAGTTCACTTCATAAA